ACCTGTCTATCCATCTATCCATCTGTCGACCTACCTATCTCTCGATCAACCTCTCTATATATTTATCCATCCATGTGTATACATATATATATATATGGATATATATATATATCCATCCGTCCGTCCGTCCATCCATCCGACCCCATCATGCAAATGTGGCAATCATGTTTTGCAGGCCGCTTGCTATGAGCTGAATCGGGCTGCTGCCGGTCTGGCCAAGCAGGCGGTAGCAGAGGCGCGGTCGTGGGTGAGAAGCCGAAGTTCGATTCCTTTGTCGGTGCATGCCTTCCAGATTTCTGGAGGCATCCGCGGCCGCCACCTGGGACCAATTGGTGTAGTCCTACCGCCCGCAGGCTAGCCGGCATCACCCAAACTTCAGGGCCTGCGCATGCAGATGCCAGTGCATCCTTACGAGGTGCTAGGGCTTGTAGAGGGGGGTGCGCACCTCCACCTGCTGGACATGGTCTCCGACACGCTGAATGCCGAGGCAACAGGATGCAGCTCAAGCACCGGCTCATCCGCCTTCCTACTAGGCCGCTGTCTATGTCATAGAGGAGTGCTTCTCCATGAACCCTAAAGACCGCTTCATCAATGTCACCATGAAGGCCGGGAGCGCGATTTTCTTTGGGATTTAGGAGTCCACAGAAGTCCCCAACACTGGCAAATGTCCGAGGAGGGGCGGACGGCCTCCGGGCAGAGCCTCTCGGCTTGCCTTGCCAGCTTGGCACATGCGCAGCCCTTCGCCTTCGGCTTGACCGATGAGAAGGTGCCTCGAGGCAAGTAGCAGCTACTTGTAAGATGGCAGTATTAACTATGAGGATACTAGCTATCATCTTAACTGTCTTAACACTCGCCGTCATCGCTCGTGCATCCTGATCGTCGTCACCGTAGCATGGGGAAAAGGACGTCTAAACTGCCTCCATACTCACATCCTCCTTTTCACCACCAGCATCGTCACCAGAACCGTCGTTGCAATCGTCTTTATCAGTATTGTGCAGACAGTAGTCACACTGGTCATTATCATTATCATCTTTATTTCATGATTGTCTTCGTCCTCGCCGTCGTCACCGCCGCAGTTGGCCTGGCCTACCTGGACATCACCTGGCAGGACTCGCTGTCAGGCCGCCCTGGGCTGCATTGAACATGCGGCTCAGCCTGCTGAGCTCTCCTTTGAAGCGCAGCCGGCAGGGGCGCCGGCGGCTTGTCGAGCCGCAAGACCTTCCTGGACAACTGAGCACCTCGGTCTTGGAAAGGGCAGCGAAAGGTACTTCTGACACCGAGTGAGCCACTGGACGAGGCTCATGGTGTGAGTTGCACGATGATCCTTACTCATCGGCGAGCTGTGTCGGACAACTCGGCGGCTGCCCTGTGTGTCGTTTCCACTCCGTAGACCGAGGGAGCCTGACATTTATTTGACAGCCGTGCATCAGCGAAAGCTTGAGAGAATTGATTCACCACCTTGGTAAAGCTTGTCCACCGGAGCAGCGCTGCGCAGTCTTCTTAAAGTTTTGCCTGATCAATTTGACTCCATTTGGCTCTCACATGGTGATGGCAGGGCATGTGCGAGCAAAACTACAGCCATTTCCCTTTCTGTCCATCATGACGATGTCCGCGCGGGCCCGCGAGGCGAGCTGCAAGGTTTTGAAGACGGTTTAGAAGTGATGACAGCAACCTCATTTTGTGGGAGGACCTCAAACAGCACCTTTGTAGCATTTTTGCATCAGCCAGGCAAAGAGCAGAAAAGTGTAAAGGGGTTGCTTGCGCGAACTTCTAAATGCCTCCAGCCGGTTCCCAACCAACCCTGTCCCAGACCCAACACCACAAGCCGCTACTCAAGAAGCACGAAAGTCTCATGACCCCCAAGCCTAGTGACCATAACACACACGCGCACACACAGAGACACACTTCTCCCCTCCCCATCTATCGGACCCTTTCAGGGCCCATCCGGAAAATCTGACACAGTTTCAGTGACTCTTGGGGTTGGGTACACGTCTCGATTTATCTTCGGCTGCGTGGAACTTCCCGATAGGAGCTGAGGCCTGGGCTTAAAACCTCAACATGGGCCCCAGGACTTGTGTTCTACTATGGTATCATGTCCTTGCAAGCCGCACTAGCAGGGTCCCCCAGCTGCTGAAAGCAGAAGGTGCTGGCGCGATGGGGCAGCGGGAAGTGTCGGGCCCAGTCAAGCCATCAAGACCGCCAGTACCACACAACTGCTCCGATGCTGTCTTGTCCCAGGTGGGATACGCTGTCTATGCGGTCTCTCACTCTCACAGTACGGTGCCCAGTATGCTTGGGCTCGGAGCTGCGCCTCGGTTTTCAAATCCCCATGTTGTGACTTACATGCTTCTGTTTACAGCGCTCGGCTTCGGAGCCTTGTTGCCAACATACCAGCAGAAGCAGCAAATAGATTCAGATGTGCAGCTGTGCCATGACCACCGCATAATTTCACATCAAGTCTTGTCTCGCCAATGAGCTCCGCGGTGGAGCAAGCTGGTCGCATATTGCAGCCCAGCACTTATTTGTGCGTGCCGTTAGCGCGTGCATCGTGACCACGTGTGTTTGTGTGTGTGTGTGTGCCTGCACGTGTGCGAAGTGTCAATGTCACGACTCATGTTGCGACAAGGCGCCTGGAAAAGACTCGCAAGCTGAGCTGGACCTACAAGTCGCGAGACGTGGGGGGCATGTCTTTGGTGCAGGCCGTCTTGACCGTAGCATGGCTGGGCGACTTCGCCACTTGGTTCGGGGACTTGGCGCCAGATGCAGCTGCAGCCAGAGAATCAGCTGCGCATGCCTTCGTCGATGATCCTCAAACTAAGCAGCGACTGAACGAGCTGGGGCTGCCGAAGAAGCAGGATCGCAGGGCTGGCTTCCTGTATGAGAAAGCCAGCGCCAGGGCTGCCAACAAAAGGTGTAGCCCATGTTAGCAGAGCCATTTGCTGCTGTTGTGATTCTCTACATACGTGGTCCAAGAACCCGAGAGTGCACAAATGTGCACAAGATGCAACGCAATGAGCCTCATAGACTCCGTGGCAAAAACAGGGGCCGCATTGGGCGCACAGCACGGTGTAGCCGTCGCGAAGCATTACCAATAGTAGATTTAGATTGAGTGTTGCGCGACAGGTATGTCAATGACACCTACGAACTACATCCCCCTTCGTTGAGGCATTGAGCAGCACGTTGGTGCTTGCAAAGCAGGTACACCAACGTCCATGCTTGCGCCGGTAGGTCACGTAGACGGAGAGAATGCCACGTACCTCATCCCAACCTCCAGGTCAATAGACCGCGCAGCACAGCAGTCCAGGCGCAATTTCTGCGGGTACCTGCCTAAGGTTGTCGGCAAGTTGTAGGGTCTTCAGCGTACAGCAGTGCGGCAATTCGGAGTGCGCCTTGAGCTTTGTTGCTCAGGATGGCAAGCAGAACGGCGACAAGGAGCTCGGAGCGCAAAGTGATGCGGAGCGATGGGCATGCACGGCGCTTCGCCTTGCTAGGACTCCGTCGGCTTGGACCAGGACTGCCTTTGATTGGTTTGTCTCTTGGTGCTGGGGTGTCTGGGCTGGGGATGGTGGGGTTCCTGAGAGCCGTCGCGATGAGGAGATGCGTCAGCTTTGGGGCATGAATATGAGGCCGCGGTGATTTGCAATGATGCAGAGTTAATGGCACTTGCACCTATCGGCCTAGTTTCGCAGTGGAGGTCCGGCCAGATGCCCGCCATGGACACGAATCAGGAGGCTGGCCTGGACGAGTGATGTAAGCTTCGTGCTCGTCAGCCAGTTCTTGCTGCTTCACTCAGGCCGGAAACTTCAATGGTCCAAGCAAAGGCAACGGCAAGAAGGCTTCAAATGTGGTCCTCAAAGTTGTTGTCGAGCCTTGGGTCTTTGAACTCCGTACTCGCATCAGGACGGCAAAGCTGGCAGGAACCGCAACAGCCATGACAACATGGGAGGCCGGGGGCTTTGGGAGCGCGTGCCACGGAAAGACTGTTGTTTAATGATGCTGCCCAGGTGGAAAGGGTGGCAAGGACTGACCTTCTCCGAAGAAGAGGGGCTGAGGATCTTGCTGCTCGCTCCAGTCGCCCAGGACATGCAGAAATGGGTCGAGAAGAGGGGGCCGCAGGGCAAGGGCCAAACTCAACGGAGGCATGAAATCCATGCCAGGTGCAGTCGTGCTCTCTCTCTCTCTCTCGCTGTTTTCAGCCCTTGAGCTTTGCAGGATGTCGCAACACGGGAAGAGCCACGGTAAAGGCGCGGCACGCGGCACTCTCGCTTGGCTTCTGCCGTTGCCTTCTCCAGCAAGAACTGCAGGTGGCTATCAGCAGCCGCTCATGGGCATGTTCGCTCAAAGCCCGGGCCAGCAGCCCAGTTCGAGCCAAAGTACACAACTTGGACACTGCGACGCCTCAGACTCCCATCGACTTTGGCCCACTTGTGACTCCTTCAAGTGGAGGCCCCAAGAAGAACAAGAAGGGTGTTGGCCGAGATTTGGAGATGGACGACTGGCTGTCGTCCCCTGAGAGGGTGCACAGGACAATGCGCCCATTCGCTCTCGGTGCGCTTTGCTACCTCTGAGGAAATTGCGATTTGGAGCCGGCAAGCAAGGTGGAATGTCATTTTCTCGCCTCCTCAAGAAGCCGAGCGGATGAACCATGACGCGATGTGCCTTGCGACGCAGGTGGTGGCAAAGGCCAAGCCAAGGGCAAGGCTCCGGAATGCCGGGAAAGCTGCCAGGAAGTTTTGGACAACATGTGCGCCCAACCGCCGTTCCGCAGGCTGGCAGCGCGCCAGCGGCAGCTTGAATTCGCTGGCGGCATTCTTGAGAGACATACATGTGCAAGTTTCGAAAATATTAGAGATTCCTAGCTTTCAACCTCACCTGACATAGCGAGTTATGAATTGTTTCTTCGCGTAGATGCACCGGAGGGCCCTGAGGAACTCTTGGCATCTCCAACAGTGTGCGGGTCGAGCCTCGAAATCAAGCAGAATTCATGCAATGTACGCAGGCCCTAAACCCCGAACTCTTCTGTAAATCCTTGCTAACCACAAAGAACGCAGACCCATCCTGTCCCTTCCCTGTCTCACCTTAGGCTTCTGGCAATAAAGGCCGACGGCCCACCCTTTCATCCGTTTCATCCCCTAGAGTGCCCGAAACTCTGGGCCGCTCTGCGTCGGCCCCTGTCTTCAACGCTCGAGGCGATGTGAGACGGGGCTCAAGCATCAATCGATATCAATCGCGACAAACTCATGCATTGTCCGCTCGCATACGAAACTAGCTTTGAGGGCCGAGGCATGCCTTCGAGGTGGGGTTGTGGGGGCTGGTAAGGGCACAGGTTTCAGGATTTAGGGTCAACGGGTTTAAGGCTTGGAGTTTTGGGGGTTAGCCAATGCAGTCTGAGCCAAACTGCGCATCCTCAGCGGCCACGGAGTAGAACAAAAGGCGCTTTGGAAAGGTGCCGAAAAGGATCACCGGGACACTTGGCACTTTGTCGTGATGGATGCTAAGTTCCTTTCATCATTTCCTAACTGCTCGTTGTTCTGGCCTGGAAAGCGCGCCCGACAGCCGTGATGACCAAGAGCAGCAAGTCAGTCAGTGGCATCCAGTGCACCAAGACGTAGAGGCATCAGAATCTGTCCCTGCAGTCACGTGAGTTGAACTTGTGCATTAAGCCCGTTCTGCCCGACGACATGGCCAAGGAACTTACAGGCTCGTGACAGGAAGAGTTGTTGTTGAAAGTGCCTCATTCTCCACGTGAGAAGATGCTCATTGTCAGGGCTGTCACGTGCGAGAAGATCTCGGCATCTGTGTCCGACGGTATTCACTGCCGAGGTGGCGCCTGTCGGATCTCGCCGAACGCGCCTGCAGCGGACCTCTATCCACTGACGTTCAGGCCCCCACATGACTTACAAGAGTGCTTTACAAAGGCATCGGCCCAAAGGGATTCATGATTCAGAAAAGGGTTCTGAGAGTTCTAGCTACCTGAGTTCCTCCCTCCATCAGATCTCAGGGCTTGCGGGTTCACAGGGTGCAGGTCTCAGGTCGTTGCTGGGATTGTTGTGGTTTGGTAAGGGCTTCATGTCCTCCCATGATTTAGGCCCCAGGCTCCAGGTGTTTGTTTTGTGCCCATGTGGGGCTGATGTCGGATTTTGGCAGACGTCGTCTGGGAGCTGAAAGGACGAATTTGTGGAGTTCTTCGTCTCGGATGCATTCGGGGTCTAGTGGGCTTCATGCACACTGCGGTCCGGGACAAACTGCGACTGCGTCCGAAATACTTCTCAGATATAGAGCTTCGGTTGAATAGGGTTTGAAGATACCTCAGCACCTCCATGCATTACACGGCGAAGTTTTGTGGAACATCGGAAGTTGTCTGCTCCCAGACTTGCGTGGGCTTGGGCTACCCGGGCTTCGACATGGTGATGTGCTTCATCTGCGAGCGCCAATGGGACGCGACCGAGGGAATCCTCGGGGAGGAGACGGAGCTGCCTGGCGGAGGGGAGGCCGGGCGACCGATCTCAGACAGCCGAGCTCTGGACTCCGTTCTGCGAGATGCCTCTCCCCTCAAACGTGACTCCAAATAGTCGCTGCGTCAGTGCGTCATGGTGTGGCCGCAGGTGGCGGAAGTCTCCGCCGCCGGAGTTCGGGTCAAGAGGTACATCGATACTGGGCTTTTATAGGGTTTCGTGTATGGGGTTTATTGGAAGATTATGTTGTTTCCTTTTGTTTCTGAGAGGGATTTTGGGATGTTGGGGCAAGAGAAGATGCTGACGCAGGATTTGTTGCCGTTTCTTGATGTCGATGCCGGGGACGGGACGATGGGGTCTGTCGTTGCCTGTTGGGGTGAAGATGTACGACTGTTTCTATGTTCGGGAGTAACAGAATGTATGATGCTTGATGAGGTGCTGATGATGGGGTGTCGGAATATGCATAACTTGTTGTGGCTTCTTTAAGGTGTATTTTTGATCCCGGATGCACATTTGATTTGCATAGAAGCTTTTCGATTTGTTGTTGCTTGTTGGGGCTTGGATTTCGGGTGATGGGCAGATGTATGATTTCTCATGTCGTGTTGCCGTGCAGATTTTCGGGCATGGGCAGACTTTTATCGGCTTTCGGTACAGTGCTTTCGGTACAGTGCCGGAACAACAACGTATGAAATTTGTATCGATTCGTGTCCAGGACTGCAATGAATCATGATTTCCGCAGGCCGCGTCGGTGCGCTTGGGCGAGCGCGTGGGTGCCTCAGCCCCTTCTGCTTCCTGCGAGGCGTTCCCTATCGGCCCTTTGGTTTTGGCCCACGTTTGCTGAGGCCCAGCGGAGCGTCGTCAGTCGCCCGGCTGCGGCCCTGGAAGACCCTCTGGAAACGGAGACTTGGAAGGGAACAGCTTGACGGAACACTTAAGCGTGAGAGGCAAGTGGGGGCCATTTCGTTGCTTTCGAATTCGATCACTGGGACCTGGGCCGGCTACTGGACGAGCAGGCTGCGTGGAGGCACCGGTTTCGAGATGGTGGGAGATGGTGGGATTCGGATGGGGACAACCTCGGCTTTTTTCATGGTCCTTCGCTGTTGTTTCTCAGGCCCTTCGGAGTCCTCCCTGAAGGCAGTCTTCGCCCGGCGCGGGCTCAGGCTCGGCGGCTGGCCTCGCTCTCTCCCTCAAGCCTTTCCTTCCAGAGCGTTGTGGCGTTGCACGGCGTCTCTGCCACATTCCGTTTTGTCACAGCCGGGATGGGTTTCAGGCTAAGGGTGCCGAAGGGCGTCGGCACCGGGTAGTAGTGCTGGCCATCGGGGCCAGAGGCTTCAAGAGATGATAAGACTAAGAGATGATAATGCCACCAGCAAGCGGCGCGAATCCCGAGAGTGGGGGACCACCTCCCTGTTGTGGCGTTTGGCACCGGACGCTCGTTAGTCGAAGTGGCTGCTGGTTGGGGACACAATTGTGCAAGGCTGGACGATGGCACTGTCAAGTGCTGGGGTTACAACAACCAAGGCCAGTTGGGCCTGGGCACCACCGAACAAATGGGCGATGGAACCAGTGAGATGGGGGACTACCTCCCTGCCGTGTCCCTCGGCACGGGGCGCTCCGCAGTGGAAGTGACCGCTGGTCACACACACACACACATGTGCCAGGCTGGACGACGGCACTGTCAAGTGCTGGGGTTTCAACTCTTACGGCCAGTTGGGCCTGGGCACCACGGACAGTATGGGTGACGGAAGCCATGAGATGGGGGACTACCTCCCTGCCGTGTCCCTCGGCACGGGGCGCTCCGCAGTGGAAGTGGCTGCTGGTGCATGTGCCAGGCTGGACGATGGCTCGGTCAAGTGTTGGGGCCGCAACAGACATGGCCAGTTGGGCCTAGGCACCACCGACAATATGGGCGATGGAAGCAGTGAGATGGGGGACTACCTCCCTGCCGTGTCCCTCGGCACGGGGCGCTCCGCAGTGGAATTGGCTCCTGGTGATACGCACACATGTGCCAGGCTGGACGACGGCGCTGTCAAGTGCTGGGGCTACAACCTTCGCGGCGAGTTGGGCCTGGGCACCACCGACTATATGGGCGATGGAAGCAATGAGATGGCCGACCACCTTCCTCCCATTGACATTATCATGCCAACCACAACCACAACCACAAGCAAAACAAGCACGAGCAGCACGACCGGCACCAGCTCCACCAGCGCCACTGGCAGTACCACCACATCCAGTAGCACCGACAGCACATCAAGCACGAGCACCACTAGCACGAGCACCACAAGCACGAGCACCAGCGGCAGCACATCCCGAACCAGCTCCACCTCTACAACAGGCACCACAAGTACGACCACATCCAGTTATACCAGCACCTCAACTCTGACCTCCACGACATCCACCCTGACAATCACCAGCAGCCGCAGCAGCAGTACAACCACCACAAGTACGAGCACCTCCACATCATCTGTCTCGCAAACCAGCAGGACCACAACGACGCGTAGCTCGAGCCTGTTCAGCTCGATTTTCTTTTCTCGGGTAACGGGCGCTCTCCAGAAACCATGTGGCTGTTACTCTCCGGAATGCCAGCAGGGTCTAGTGGCAAGGGCATAGAAAAACTACCCACCATGGCAGGGCATCCTTTTAGGTCAGAGATGTTTGGGTGTGGGGCAGCGTTCGGGGGCCCTCCCAAAGCTGCTCTGCATCTGAGGCTCTGTCACAACCTCCGCAGCCGCAACCCAGGAAGCAAGGGAGGAGCAACAGCGTAAAGAGGACTGGACATCGCCGGCTAGCCGCTGCAGTAGCCGTGGGTTTAGGGTTTAGGGTTTAGAGCTCCGGGTACCCTACAGTAGCCGTGGTAGCACCCGCAGCAAGCGTCGGGGGTGATTTTGTACCTGCTTTAGTGTGTTCCCTCCCCTTCATGAACAGTCGAAGTTGGTTTTTGCTCTCTTTAAACGGTCCAGGAGCCTGCTAATGGTTGAAATATTTACAAGGGAACTGGGATGAGTTCAAAAAGGACAGCGAGGCCCGGCAATTTAGTTTACAGGGGCGCCCCACCAACTTGTTTACGACACCGAATACAGGATCCCACCGCGCACCCCCAAACAGCCACAGTGTTCTGAATAGCCCAGCAAACAGAACGTTAAGCAGGGGGGGGGCCCCTAAAGCGCGGCATTACGACGGGGGGGAGGCATCCTGGGTCCAAGAGGTGGATCGGCTGATCCCCAGGTGGAGGGCATGATTGCTTTGGGAGGGCTGGGCAAGTGAGTCGCAGGCTCAGAGCTCCACAGTTCAAGGATTTTTAGAGTTGGTTTGTAGCTTTCTTTGGAGCCGGCTTCGTTACTCTAGCCCTAACCCCAAGTAATTCCTACACCTACAGCCTCCCACAGAACCCACAGAACCCTACTTCGGAGCACAGCTGTGGAAGTGTGCTCATGTGAAGTGTGAGGACGCCAAAGCGGCCGTGAACAAGATCGAGTCAGCAACACAGGACGCCCTGCGCAAAGCGAGGTTGTTGGATGTTGGTGACAGTTGGGTCTTGATGTGCTGTTCAAGGGCGTGTAACGCGTGTAGAGTGTGTAGCTTGGTCTTCTTGAGGAGGGAAGTCAAGGCTTTGGTGTAGGAGGCTCGGAAGCTTAGGAGTGATGGTTAGGGTTAGTGCTTACCCTAATTACATGCCAAGCTGCAAGTCCGGACCGTCCAAACCGGGGGTTCGTTCGTGCTTTTGAATGAAGGCAACCGCGTAGGGAAGTTTAGGGTGTAGAGTGTAGAGCTTCAAGACTTATCCATTAGCCTGATTGAGGAAATGCCCGGGTGAGGTCAGGGCGATGCGAGGTCTTGACCAGGTACATAGTGCCAGAAAGACCGAAGCCTGTATATTTTTGTGATGGTGCTGCGCTTTACTCTCAAGGCAAGGCTGCGGTATCAGACGCCGTTGGGTCATGCAGCACTCAGTTTTTAGCAGGCCTGAAAGAGAGCCTTGGCGGGATTTGGGGATTGCAGGTCGGAGGCGAGTCGGACCTGATTGGGTGCCACGCGGAGGTCCTGCCAAGGTTTGGAGAGTTCAAGTTCCAGCTTGATCGTGGGCGGCTTCTGCACCGGCTTGAAGAGAGGCAGCGCATGGCAGCACACGACTTGAGTCAGTTTAGTGCCGCACTGCATTGGGCCCCGAGTGCCTCCCACGTTGGGCGGGCTGGTAGAGAGTTGTTGAAATCACCATTCTTTGACTTGTGGGACCTGTGGGACGCAGCTGAAGCGCTTCTTCGCCCGAGCAGCACGCTGATGCCCAAAACACTCTGCCACAGCCCGAATAGCTCCCTTCATTCCGTGGCTTTGACGGCGGCCATGCCTGTCGTTACCTGGTGGCATGGTTTATGAAGGGAAAGAGTGATGACGGGAAGGGGTGTCTCTTTTCGTTGCATGGTTTTCGCGGCAAAACAGGCTATGAAGGGGAAGGGGTAGCTGCACAACATGCTATTAGGGTTTAGGGTTTAGGGTTTAGGGTTTAGGGTTCAGCAGCTCCGGATCGAGCAGTTTTATGGTACAGTTACATTTAAGGCTTAGACATAACACCCACCCACCCCTGAATCCCACAACATTAGCAAAAAAAAGAGTTCGTTCTTAAACCCTAAACCCAAAGTCCTACACCCTGAACTAAGCCCTAAACCCTAGGCCCCAAACCCTAAGCTCTGGACC